ATATCAATTGCCAAATTCTATGGAAACGCGAATCACGTGTTCCTTTGATCCGGAATAGAAACAACGATCTTACTTTGGTATTACTACGTGTATATTTTGTTGGTTTAATGAGAAGAAAAATAATGTCAACTTGTTATTAAATTTTATTTTATTTCTCCTTTGTGTCATTCTATATCGTGGACAAACTATGTATCAAATTTTATAGAGAAGTGTGCTTCTTTGACCTAGGTAGAAACAATTTTTTAATCTTTCAACCACTTACTTTCGCGTATACTTTTTAGTTCAACGAATAATATAATCCACTGTATTCCACTTTACTGTTAAATTGTTTTAAAATTTATTAATTAACGTTAATGTAATTGTTAATAATTGTCACAACGGATCAATAAATTTCTTTGCTTTCATTAATTTTATATATACAACATACGTAAAATTCCTCGAAAAATAATTGCAAAATCGCTTAGCCAAATAAACAGTGTTCAACGAATAAATGCTCATCGAGCATTTTTTTATTTTCCGTAACAGCGTGCTGAAAAAATATATTTATATAATACACGATAAAATCTCACGTTAAGATCGCCAAAATATATATATATATATATTCCTTACCAAATATTATTCATTTGCTAAAAGCATCAAAAGCATGGTTCATCTAAAGATCATCTAAAAATACCAACATGAATTTCTAACATTCATCTCTTACGAAAAAGAAAACAGAAGGAAAAATAAAGAACTTCGAAACCTTTAACGCTTTGAAAATTGATCTTTCGCTTAAAATCGATATATTAAGAGATCAAAAGCGTATTTCTTTCCGCTAGAATAGAAAGTAATCGCACGATCCTCCAGAACTTTTCGTTCTACAAACGTACATACGTTATACGCATGCGCACACTGCTGACCACACGACGACCACTTCTCAAACGAAGAAGCGATTATCCTTTGAAAACGGTTGCAACCATTTGGGCTCCATAGACCCTCTTTGAATTCGTTCCATTGAGTAGGCGCGATGCGTTCAATTCAAACGGAATCGTACAAAACTGCTCGGCACCACCCTCCCCCCATTTAATGGTTCACACCAAGCCACCAGTTTAAATTTCATTACGACGATTATGCGTGGTAAGCTATAATCCCTCGAAGAGGATAAGGCATTTCTCAGTATGCCTAACAGCCGCCGCCGTTACCGACGGAGTCTCCACCTATTCAGCCTGCGGGAATTTAGTGGACCAAGTGATATTACCAACTCGAGGATTATTTAGAGCTGTACGACCGCAAATTCCGAGTTGCAATGCGCTGCAGGTGTTACGAACCGCACTGGAACGAACATATTTACGAAGACGTGGCGGGAATCGATGCAGCTTTGCTCGAAATGAAATTATTCATAAAAGTATATTTTTAAAATATATCCACGAACTATGTTTTTATATATTTATTAATGTTAATGTATCTATCCATCTGGTATATCTAGGTTTCCATATAAAGCGAGAAAATTCGATTCGGAATGGAGGAATAATTCTTTTTATTTAAATTGGACCAAACAATTTGGATGGATGATTAGACATGGCGTCTCATATAATTATTTTGATTTGTAATATGTACGAAATAAGTGTTTATTTTCTCTATTGGAATAGAGATGAAAATATCTTTTCAAATGTAAATATTATTCCTTGAAAAATGGAAGTTGGAAGAAACTATTATCCAAACTACTTACATATGACTTATATATATATATCGATATGATTACATCTGGCGATATTAAAATTTAAAATCACTCGTTGACGGTGACAAAATTAAATGGCATTATTGAATTATTGTCTTAGTAGGAAATAATTTTATTGAACAAAGATGTGGTATACAAGAAGTATAAAATAGTAATTATAAATTGTAAATAATCGAGAAACGGTTAAACGAGAAGCCTATTATTCTTCGTGTTTCCCAAGTAATTAAAAAATTTCATTGAAATCCTTATTATTTATAACACTTTATACCATTCTCTTGGTAACGGTACAATCGTCTTATTGTTGTCTAAAGATGATCAATATGTTACGAAAACAATGGAGAAATAAAAATTTTAATATCGCGTATTAAAAATATAATTACACTCAAAAGCGTGAAAAAATACCATTTTACATTAATAAAATGATTATTTAATATTATTTTACTTCATAATAATATATTTTATTCGAAATGATTTATTTGGACAAGAGGAAATTACACTTCTCCGATTTATTTTATTATTTGCCTATCGATTTAAAATAATTTCTACTCAGATTATTTTATTATTTTATTTTCCATTCCCGAATAAACATTCCTTGAAATAATTTTTCAAATCATTCGTCAAATATTACGAAAAATACATATATCGTGTATTATTTATTTATTCATTTATTTCGAAAATATTTTAAATAATCATCACAAAAATGGAGAGCTAACTGTTATTATCGAGTAAATTTTACAATAAATAATCTGAAAAGAAACAACAAGCTTCTTGAAAAAATATTACTCTCATATTTTTTCATCTAAACAATTTATCCAAATCCGCATCTTACGTACGTTCCACAACGCATCTATCTAAAACGAAACGAAACTGAAAACGAAGTAGTTGCATCGCTCGTATTTTTATTTCAAAAATTTACCGCATCGATTTACACCGACGCTTCGTCTCGAACCCATTAAAAGAGATTCTTCCTTTTTCCGGGGCGAATACAAATCAGAAAGGTTTAACGTGAAATTTGATTTCGAGCATAACAAAAACGCACCGCGCCACGCCAATAATAAATGCGGAAATATTTGCATCGAATACCAGATTTCCCCCTGAATATTAACCTGACTTAGAGCTCTGTATCGCGTTACAACTACACACGCGGTAAAATTTTATTATAACCAGGTGCAGCACACTTTGCTGCAAGTGTATAAACTTGGTGGAGGAAGCAGTGGTAGAAATTGGCGGAGAGATATTTCTCGATGTTTCGTGAACTAGAAATTCGCGTTCGTTCGCCTGTAAAGCGATATCGTAGGCGCATAGCTCCTTGCATTTTCTTTGCGCCTCCCCCCTCCCTCTCCATCGAGCTCGTCCAATACGAGAAATTATAGCGAGGAGGGGAATAAATAGGCAAACAAAATTCGACGAATATCACCGGCTAAGGCGGGGACCCGATCGGCTGGAAAATGTTTCTCAAAGGAATAATGAGATACATTAACTAAATGTACCCTGATGCCCTTCGTCGATTTTTATTCTCGTTACGATGATTATTTTTGAATAATCCATGTGTAATCATCCAATGAATAATATCGTTTTAAAAAGCAGATTCTTTTTTTTTTTAATTACGTATAGTCTAAAATTATTGGATTGTTCAAGTCGAATCGAATCGCATGTGACGAACAAATTTATTAAAATATATAATATCGCGCAGAAATGATTAGAAGAATTAAGAAAGCTTTAATAAGATCTTCGCAAACAACGAATAATTAAATTCTATCGGAATCGCTTTTAAAATGACAATTTTATGACAATGTTACGTTTTTAATTTAAACGCGCGAAAAGACGGATCGAAAACTTCAACTCGTGCCGAGTAGAAAAAGTGACGCGCCATTGTAGAATAAATTAAGAAAAGATTGTAAACGTTCTATCGACGAAATGTAGATAGACGCAAGAATTGTAATTTCCTTTTCTCATCCATAAAGAAAGGATATATTATATATATATACGCGATGATATAAGTTCAAATTTCACTCAACTCGGTCGATAAAGTTGCACGGGCGAAAAGTGTCGGCGATAATATTCAAATTAACCATATGCGGAAGACCGTCGTAAGAAAAGAAGAGGAGGGGGGAAAAAGGAAAAGAACAGCACACACAGTGAGGTGAAACAGTGTCGCTAATGAGTTAACAAATCGATTCGAACTCCGGCCAGGTAACTTGCGACGTTATTTTAACTCCATTAGCTGAAAATTGCATTATAATTTCCCAGTCATCCCAACTGTACACCTATCCTAACCTCGCCACTTGTAGTTCGGCTCAACTCTGTGTAACTGCACCGAGAGAAATTGATGGAGACGTTCTGGGAAGTGACATTTCGCCAACTCGAAATTTCCCTTCGTCAGCCATTCACACGAGCACGTGTATTTTCCACGAATATACGTGTATGGGTACACGTATATATATGGGTGGAAAAGGCATATGCGCGAAGAAAGAAAATGTAGTAGCTGAATGGGACACGAGAAATCGATTCGGTCGGATTTTTTTTTACCAGCGGATTTAACTGAATTAATTTAATTCAGGGAAAGGAATTATAATGAGATTATTTTAAATTGAAATTTTAACAAGGAGAGTTTTTCCAAAGAAATTTCTTTTTTTTTTTTTTTAATTGGAAGTTTGTTATTTAATAGCTGCTTCTGTTATTATTATCGTTGTTGTTGTTGTTGTTGTTGTTAGTGCTCATTAAAATCAACGGAACCGAATCACTTTCGAAATCATTTTTCTGAATCAGAAAAGAAAAATTAATGAAATTGGTAAACGATATTTATGAGATCAGATGAAATTAAAAATGATTAATTGTTTTTTATCAATTTAAGGGGAGGATTAATAAAATAAATTCTATTATATTATAATATAGATTCATTCAAATTAAAAGGAAAATTGATAATGAAAGTTTGCGTGTATTTATATAGAAAATAAAATGAATTGTTTTTTCAATAAAAAAATCTCATTGACGGAGATGAAATCAATTCTCAAAATTTGTTTAGCTTATTTTGTCCGACGTATTATTTATAATAAAGTAATATACAATTAAACAATAAAGACCACAATATTTAGATTTTTTTCTCTATTTTGTACCATTAAAAAATTATATTTAAAGCATATGGAAAAAAGATAGGGAAACATTAAGAGTTGATTTATAATTGCGCCATGTATAACTCACAGAGTTTCATTAAAAACAGAATTTTCATTAATTTTGATAACACAACTCGTTAATTGAGCTTCGCGTAAAGTGTACGAAAATTTCGTAATTATTTCGTAGTCATTTCATTGTTCCTAAGGTATAAAATTTCATGTCGAAAAAATATGAAATTATATTTTTCAAGATAGAAATACCACGTTAAATTACCAGTACCAATATAGTGAATGTTTTAACTGAAAAGTAGTTCCAAAAAGTATAAGATGAATAATATATGAAAACATAAAAAATATTCATTTAAAATAAAATATTGAATGAAATTATCGATTGAAATAAGCCTTTCTTAAGATTAGATGTAATATTATTTGAAATATATTTATATTTTTGTGATTATTATTTAAGAAGAAAAGTAAATAGAAAAATATATTTATTTGAAGAGAGATCATTAAGAATAAAATTCTTATTAAATTTCATTCTATGATACAAAATGATACAAAAGCAAAATACAAAAGACTAAGAAAGACGAAGTTTTTAAAAATTATTATTTAAAAATAATATAGAAATATTTCATTGTATAATTTAATAAAATCAAATAAATATTTCAAATATCTATTTTATTTAATGTAAAAACAAATCCCGTTACTTCAAATTAATCACATCTAAAGAGATTTAAAAAAAAATACTTCTTCCATGCAAATATTTTTACTCCTTAATTCACTATTCAAGATTGAAATGAATATAACATTTTTAACATTAGCTAATTCCACCGATATGACACTTTTCTTATCTCCAACTTGTTTCATCGTACAAAAAAAAGGAATGTCTCGTCCAATGAAAAGAGATTCAACTAGCTTGTTTTAAATGTCACAAGATAGATATTCCATGCACTGTACAAAATAGCATTCAAGCTTTAGATATTGCATATTTATACTTATTCTTGAATATGACGTACGAATAAGGTATGCGTAAAATACATATAAACAAGCATAAACTTCTTTCATATTTTCCCTAGTTTCTCTAGGGACTTTCGACGCGACAGGGATGCCACGAAAGAACGAAGTATCGGATCGAAAACGTGACATATCGATGTCATATTTTATTCCACGTTTATTTCTTTCGTTTATCTCGACAAATCGGTCCAAATCTATGATTTATTGAAGAGTTCAATGGATTAAAAAGAATTATGCAGTTGTATCAACGAAATAGATGGTCAAACTTTGATTCTTTTATATATTTATATATATAAAAATTTTAATTTTTCAAGGAACTTTTATTACTGTATAAGCTTGCGCTTTTATATCATCCTCGACATCGTAATATTAACATTTAATCGCAACGTGGAATTCATGACATGAATTATTTACGATTGGAGTTGTTTACATCAACCATGAATATAGAACAAAAATAAAACATTATTGAATTACTTACGACTTTAAAAAATCGAATAATGAATGAATATACCAGATATATAAGGAGAATCAAAATTGCCAATACGTGAAGTGATTAAAAATTAAAGAATTTTCAAATAATGGATTAATATTATCTAATAAAAGAAATGCATTGGAAAAGATAAAATTAATCGTTTAATTTTTAATATCACGTTAACAATGTTTTTAGATAATTCAAATATATATAATCATCCAAGATTTAGATAATAATAAATTTAAATTTATCAAACTTCAAATAATCGACAATTCATGCTCCATTGTAATTAATAAACACGTAACGAAGGCGCTCATTTTTTGTAAATAAAAAAGAGCTCGTAATAATACGGTTACTTAATCGACGATTAAATACCTTTGTAAGTGCTTATATGATGATAACATTAGCATAACAGCACGAGATCTGAATATGCACGGAAGCCTCGTCTAGAGATTTCCAGTTAACGAGCGGAAAACACAAATTCGCAAACCGACATAATGAAAGAGCGTAAAGTGCGTAATGCTACGATCGAATCGAAAGAAAAATTTTCTTATTTTTATAATCACAAATTATGATCCTCGATCCAACGTGAATTAATTGTGTGTTATTAACACGCTCCTCCAATCTTTTTAGCATTGTATTTCAAATAATATTATACTTCAAAAGAAAAGTATCGATCATGATAACGCGGACCACGTGATCTTTTGCAAAAAGAAACAAAATACTAAATTTAAATTCGATGTGTAAACATCATTTCAGAAAAAGAAAATAGCGTAGAAATTTGTATTACATCTAGAACACTCGATTCAATGCTTTTACCCAAATATTTATTACACTTCGTTCGATCATCTTTCAAACTGTTCGAATGCAAATCATAAAAATGATGAATATAATAAA